CAAAGGAGTCTCAGAGCACCTTACAAACTCCTTTCCCTTCTCTTCCCCACAACAGACACCCTGTGAGGTAGGTGGGGCTGAGAGAGCTCTTGACAGAAACTGCTCTTTTTCAAGAACAGCTCTTATCAGAACTACGGCTTGCCCAAGGTCATCCAGGAGGTGCAAGTGGAGGAGTGGGGAATCAAACCCATTTGTCCCAGATTAGAGTCCGCACACTTAACCACTACACCAAACCACTACACCAAATACATCAAGGCAGGCTATAGCAAGGATAGTCCTACAGTAAGATCAGGTGAGACATGATCTGCCTTAGTTGGGTCATTAAAGATGGGAGGGGGAAACCAACAGATTTCTTCCAGGGGGCCCAACACACTGGGAAATTCTCTTACTCAAAACCCAAACGGAGCAAGTGAGAGACATGCAACTATGCTGCAGCTGCCCTGCAACCCCACAATCCAGGGCAGCCAGGCATCTAAGCTCAAACACGCACACTCACAAAATCCATTCCACATTTTCTTTGCAACTCCTCTTGAGCTGTAATGTATTTCAATGGAGCCCATGCAAGTCAATTGGTATTCCTGGCTCCCATTATTTCCAATGGACCTTCAAGTCTTTCCCATTGTTTCCAGTGGGCAATCCTGTCCTTCCTTTTAGTACATCCCTCGCCTTGATCTCTGTCTCGCTGGAAGAGTGCCCAGCTTCCTGGCTGGAAGAGAAGAGTGCCCAGCTTCCTGGCATGACCTTTCTGAAAGCAAAAAGCAAAAGAAGAAAGGCTTTGAAGAAACGAAGAGTGGGAAAATCCAAAGAGGATGCCGGAGAGAAGGGGCGGGGAGAGGCAAAGGAGTGCTGCTGGGGTGGGGGGGGGACGGAAGCCACATTTTCACCCTAACTTTTTGAGCACTGTGAATAGTAAGAAGCCTGATTAGGAAAAGGTATATTATTTTTAATTCATAGTTTTTTCTACTCCTCTCTCTGTGTCCGTACACACACACACTCCACCTTTCTTTCTGCTTTAGAATTTGAAGTAAAAGGCATTGGCTACCGTAATGATTCCTTGTTTTATATGTGTGTGTTTAAAAGTTTGGTTGCATGTCTGTGTGATGGACTAGAGTGCTTGAAGAGACAAGTGTGGTGTGATTAGTGATTGACAGAGAGGGGGAGGGGCTTTAGAAAGTGTTTCTGAGTGGATGAATGGATATGTCCTTCAGGAGTGACAGTTAGAGGTTTGACAGTTGATAAAGACAGTTGTTAAGTTAGTTCGTTCTGAGGTCTGAGGGAGAGAGACAGTCTTGTGTGTGATACAAGAGTTAAGTTCTGTGTATGAAGACAAGTTGAATGTATAAGGAAACAAAAGTTAAATGAAAGTCTGAGTGACAGACTAGAGTGAAATAGGAAACGTATATGACCCTGAGTAATGAGTTACAAAGTTACTAGAAAAATCCCTGTCAGAAAGGGAGCAGATCTTGTGTGAGACACAACGAAATTGTTAAAATTATTCACATTACTGGTTACATTGTTCTACACTTTAATCTATGAACTGTTTCAATAAATCTTCTTTTATTTAAGTCTGCCAGCTCTGAAAGAAATAATTTCTCAGGAAACACATAGACCCTCATGAGACTTAAAAACTCGACCTACCTATCCAGTGATAGCCAAAAGAAAGTATAAAGGTTTGGAAAGCCTAAAATTTCCTGGTGGCAGCCAAACCTACCCTGTTGAATAAAATAAAAATAACACTTTAAAGTGAAACCAGGCCTCCCCAGATAAGGGGTCGTCACAGCTACCAACAGACTACAGACAAAAAAAAAAACCATGGGAAGCCGAGAAACCGTGCCAGGAGGTGACACAGTATTACTTGAGAGCACTTAACCCGGCTACAAGGTTGAGCGGTGTTAAGTACGAAACTCAACACAGTTAGTGAACACTGAATCAGCTTTATTAACCAAGTCAGAAGAAATCAGAATGAGACAAAAACATAGAGCAACAGTCCGGGCTTGGGTAGCCACGCCCACAAGTCAGACCATAACCAATCATTATTTACAGATAAGGTCCAATCAGAGTGCTTCCCTCCAGAACATTGCACAGCTCTGATTGGTCTATTTACAATCCTGGTTCAGACTCAAGCTTAACATAGGTTTCAATACACAACAATTCCTCCCCCCTAAGACGGAACAACCTGGGAGCACACATAATCTTTGAGATAAGCATGAGGCTGCCTGCTCCGTTGTGACCGTCTTAATGTTACAGCTGGGGGATTGATTGGTGTTTCCCTGTTAGTAGGGCTTTCCAGTATACCTTGGGGGCAGTTTGCCTGAAACCTGTCTTCAGGCTGGTAACTGGGTTCAGTTGTGATACTGGGTGGTTCTCCCTCATGGAAGTTGTCTGAGCTCGGGAGCTCTACCCGTTCATCCGGTTCCGGTACGTCGGCCACCGCAGTATTGGACTCAGGGTCTACCACAGCCCACCGTTTTCTCAGTTGGTCGATGTGCCGCTTGAAAACACGACCATCTGTGAACCGTACTGTGTAAGTACGCAAACCCAGTAACTTGGTTACTGTTGCCAGCAACCGATGCCCTCCCGCATAGTTCCTGGCATACACCAACTCTCCCTCCTCAAAACCCCTGGTCCGGTCAGTGGACTCACTGTGTGGGGGTCTGGACGTGGATAGGTCTGGGTGCATACGATTGAGGGGAGTTGTTAAGCGTCGGCCCATTAACATCTCCGCCTCTCGCCAAGCAGTGCCTCCTTCAAGAAAAGGGCCGGGAGAGTTGCTCCATGACAGGAGAAACTGAGGGAAGCCACCCTTTCCTGGAGAGCTGGCCATTCCCGGAGCGCGGACTGCCGACCTAAGGCTGAGCCCCCGAGCCACTGGGCTGGGAAGGGGCTTTTCCAAAGGTCTGGCGGCAGCAGCAGGGCACACCGTCCGGCAGTCCTGTGCCACCCGCAGAGAGGCCTCAGCATAGTGGGTGGTGTGCGGGTCTCCCGAGAAGGAGCTGGTGCCACACGCCCACCCTGTAGCTGCCCTCCTTTCCCCCAGCAGCACCCTTTGCCCCTGCACCCACCAGGTGCAGCAGACCTGACCCCAAACCACACAGATGTGAGCACACACTGGGTGGGAAAGAGGGAGAGAAGGGGCTGGCTGCTTTGCTGGGCGCCATGGGAGCTTCTGAGCTTCTTCTTTTGGTGGGAAAGGCAGCACGGGGGGGCTTCCTGCCTGTGCCTGCCCCTGGGCTCCTTCCTGCCGGAGCGCCGCTCTAGTGCGCTCTGGCAGGAAATGACCCCTGGTCAAACTCACCTTGACAAAAGGGGAAACCGTAGATGTGGCATAGTTAATATCAATAACTTTGTAAATGCTGACATCAATTGGTAATTCTTAAAATTTTAGGAGCCCCTTGTGGAAAATATTCTTGCCACAAGGCTGTTTACACTGCAGCAGGGTTATTTATTTGCTTTAGTTATACACCACCTCCGCCCCCCCCCCCAAGGGGACCCAAATCAGCTTACATCATTCTCCTCATCTTCATTTGATTCTCATAACAACCCAGTGAGGTACAATAGGCCAAGAGAGAGTTGCTGGACCAAAGTCACCCAGCAAGCTTCAGGCAGAGTGCAGGCTCATATCTGGCTGTCCCTGATCTACATTACCTGCCTACCATTTTTCTTCTCACATCGACACAGAGAGTACTCCATCTTTCTGTGTTATACCTCTGAGGAATGTCAGGTACAACAATGCCAAGATCACAGCCATACAGCCTGGAAAATCTACAACAACTAATGAACTCTGACGGTGAAAGCCTTCGACAACATATTTTTCACATTGTTCTCAGCATTTTAAGTGACCCATCTGGTGCTACAGAGACACTTGACCAACTACTTTTTTTTTTTTTGCTTTCACCTGAAGGCTGCTACTTTCCCTTTTTCTGAGAAGGATAAAGGTACACTTGATTCTAGCACCACCTACTCTGTTGCAGTCTGCAGGGCACTGTATATGTAAGGACACAGATTTTAAGGAAAGATTACATATTTTTGTCAGGAGATCCACAAGTTCACATTTGAGTTCTTTCAGAACTCTCGGATGTATGCCATCTGGGCCTGGTGATTTATCAGCTTTTAAGTTGTCTATCAGTTTTAGGACCTCCTCTCTCGTCACCTCAATCTGACTCAGGTCTTTCAACACCCCTCCTGAAATCGGCGGTTCTGAGTGGGCAAGCACTTCTCATCTTCCACAGTGAAGACAGAGGAAAAAAATGCATTTAGCTTCTCAGCCATTTCCCTATCATCCTTCCGTACTCCTTTTACCCCTTGGTCATCCAAGGGCCCCACAGCCTCCCTGGCTGGTTTCCTGCTTCTAATGTATTTGAAGAAAGTTTTATTGTTGGTTTTTACGTTTTTTGCTGGATCAGAAGCGAGATTCAAAAGTTGGATCAGAAGCGAGATAATTACCACTAAAAGAATGAACGCTAGGTATTCAGCCAATCATAGATCCATCCCACCATTTGAAACTAGCTCAAGATTATGCAGGTAAAGGCAGTAAACCCTAACAGGGACATCCTAAGAGCTCTTTCCTAGAAGTAACCTCATTGAATAGACCTGAATTGGACCCAGCGTAGATCGGTTTAGGATTGCACTCCAAATAATAGTTTACTCTTGAGGCCCTGTGTTGTGCCCATTCTGAGATAATGTGAAAAGTTCTCCAGTGTTTTGAAGACTGTATAGCACACAGATGTACTGCTCCCAAAACTATGATTTGTTTTCTTTTGCAAAACAACATCTTCATAGCCATCTGGAGACTGTTTTATATGATGCAAAATGGCAGTGGTATCCCTTAAGGCCAACATTTCTTTGATACTGTAACCAGTATTGCATGGCCCATCTAAGCTGCACTACAACGCAACTGCATGTACATGTAATGAAAACAGTAACAGACCATTTTTACATGTTTATTATATAAAAATAAGTCTTTAACTTCATAACTTTAAACAAACATTAATAATGGGCCCTCAAATTTGGGTCCATGGACATCAAACACAAAATTGAAGCGCCAGAGTTATTTACATTTATCAAGATACATTTTACCCATAAATTTACATAAAGTATACACACTGAGAGAGCACATTAAACATTAAGAAAATTAAGACAGCTTTTGGTGACAGAAAAAGACATGGTTATCATCACGTTTTTCTCCTCTCTCCAGACTAGGGCTAATGCATTTTAGGTTGCAACCATGTTTGCTTGACGTGCACAAATGCAATATTAGTTCAGTCCCCAACTCTGTAAATGATTCAAGACTGAAAATCTGAAATGCAGGGTTTTTCACATATTCCAGGATTCTCCTAAATTATCAAACCAATTTTGAAAACATAATTCCAAAAAATAGCACAGATAAATCCATCTCTTGAAGCCCAGACTCAAAATCTGTGAAGTCAAGTGTTACTTATTTAGTTGACTTCAATGATAGGTGGATAAGAAATAAAACCAGTTTTCATGCAATACCTCCTGGATTATACCAGGGGCCGGTGCTATAGCTCATGAATCTTAGAAAGCACCATACTGAAACAGAGCACAAGATGGAGGACTGAAGGAAACCTTCTGAAATGTTTTTGCTTCTGGAGGAATGAAAAAAACCAGCTGAGTCATACTGGTTATTATTCCTGAGATTACTTGCATAATTGTGGGACTCACACAGCTACTGCAGTACTGATATTAAAAGTAGAATTCAGAGTGGCTCAGAATAGGAAGCTTTGCAGTACAAGACAACTGACGGATAAGACTTGACAGATAAGTCAAGACAGTCATCCATGAATGGACATGTCAACAAACTATCTAAAATCAGTGCTGTATTTTAATGTAAAGATGTAAATTTGGCTTATAAGTGCATGTGCAAAGTAGAAGTGTGAAATACAAACATTCTCACTTTTTATGGTTGCCTATCAACAGTTTTGATAAAATATAGGTAATTTTCCTTCAGATTTCTCTTTTTTGCCTTCCCCATATCTTTCTTCTGGCTGGCATAGGTATACAAAAAGAAGAAGCAGAAGCAGATCCTCTAGGAAACCTAGATTATAAACATGAAAACAAAAAGGATTCTAAACAATGAATACAAAAAAAATCTAACAATCTTCATACAATCACATAGATCAAGGTACAACAACCATTTTAATATATATATATTAAATTACAAAAGCCCTAAGAATACACATCAATACACAAGAATTGGAATTATACCAAAAGAGGCTGGAAGAGTTAGAAGAGAAGAATTTATGGCACAACTTGGATGGATTTTTTCCTTCTTCCTCAGGACTTATGAGGCATTTTTAAGATGATGCAGATAATTTCTAATCTTTATTATTGGTGTTACTAATTTTGCATAAATAACTGGGTTTTTCACCTGTGAATCAATGAAATGGTCATCTGAATATAAAGCTACCAAATCTGATAAAGGATTCAAGACAAGCTTTGAGCCCAGGGCATTTGTGATATATGGTTCTTGTATACAGAGGCATGTTTGATTCTTATATTTTTGTAATTTGATATATATTTATCATTATGGTTGTGCATTGATTATGGCTGTGCATTGATTAATTTTATGAAGATTGTCCTCCCCCCCCCTTTTTTTGTGCTCCTACCGTGTGTGCCCCAATAGGTGCAATCATCATTTTGCCTGAACAGGACAACATGAGTATATTTAAGCTTCAGTATGTGCAAATGCAACAAAACTGGGTTTCTGGTAGTGCACACCAAAGCTGAACAATTAGATGGCAGTGGCATGTATTACGGGGATCACACACAGTACTCTCTCTCAGTATGTAATGTGGGAGTGTCAAAACTGTAGTAAGGGAAAAGGGCTAAAACCAGCTAAGAAACATCAAAGTATTTCTTAAAAAATAATGGGCAATGTTATATTTATTTGGAAAACTGGGATTAAAGCTGAAAATAAAATTGACCCAGGAGCTACTCTAAAATTTAGGAACATCTTCTTCTGAAAGCATCACTAAGATATTTGACTTATCTAAACAACAGAGTATCTAAGTGGGTACTGCAGAAGAAGTCACACATTTGGAGGAACTAAAAATACTCCATGGGGTACAAATTAACTGTCAGTTCAGGGATAACATTTAATATTTAAATAAATTCAACAAAATTAAGTCTACATATGTAAGAATTCCTTATTCACCTAGCTTTTCTGAATATGATCCTGTAAGGATTCTTTATTTATTGATTTACCCCTGAAAAAAGTCACCCACCTGGATTGTTACATTTTTTCCCTCCCTGCTATGGCCTGTCGGCTGTGAAACAGGCAGAAATCAGCAAGTGAATTTTCCCTGTCACCATCACAAATCAGGGCCTCTCGATGCCAGGAAAGAATTTTGATTTCTGCCTGCTTTATCTGTTAAAATCTAAGGAGCCCTGCCATAAAGTAAATTGGCAACTGGAATCTTCCCATCACTTTCTTGGGAAATGTTAATTATTCAGACACAGAGTGTCCTTATTTTGTAATATGGTTTTACTGTCGCTTGACAATCAGCCTTCAGAAACCATATGCAATGCCACAATGCTCTTGCAACTGCTTGTGCTAAGGAAAACCTGGGAAGAAAAGATAGAGAGAAAAGAAAGAGCATCATCATTTAAGGAAAGATTTGGAGCAAAGTTTCGGTGAGGATTTTGTGGTCAGGCTGGTTATTTTGGCACTATTAAGGCATCATCATTAGTCCATCCATTCAGGGATATGATTTTAAAGATGACCTGAATTTCAAAGCTCTTCACTCACAGAAACCAGCATAGCCAGGAAACAGTGTAGTATGGGTCAATATTTTACAATCTTATAACCTCTTGATTTCTGCGTAATGCGCTCACATGTGCTTAACCAATTAAAATCTTGTATTCACATATTCCTGGGGCTGGATCCTATCAGCTCCACTCAATTAATGACAATGGTATTCCAACAATGCAAAAAACCTGCCTCTGATGCAGAGTGCTCTTCTGGCACCAGAAGAAGTCTTTAGCATTGGTGTAAGGCTCCTTGGCCCCGAGAGACATAGAAGAGTGGAATGGTAGGACCCCTTATATACTGATCATATTGTACATTTACACTCAGCTGATAGACACTGATGAAGATCAGATGACCTTCTGTAATACATACTTGTGTGACACTGAATTAGGTCTTTAGCTCCTTGAACACTCTGAAAATTGAAGTTTGGCCAATCCTCCATGCTGTGGCTGCAGCTGTTCAGCTGCCTGACATAAGACACCAATCAGATGGGACTCAGAGCAACAAAGAGAGTAGCTTGCACAGCACTGAGGAAGAGTGGGCCAAATTTGTTCAGTTTTTCCCTGCTTTGAAGCTGTTAAAATCTATTTATTAGACTTTATTAGGTAAAAGGTCCACCTGGATAAACCTTACAGTATCAATTTTATTAATTATAGATCCTGATTAAACTTCTGAAGCAGATATTGGGTAGGGAACTCTGAAGACAAACCATGGCAATGGTTCAACATTTAAAGAACATCTCAGCTTTTAGGTTTCCTTTCCCTGACATGAGCGTCAGCCTTGTGCATAGACATTATTACAGCATAGAATTTGGGGGATGGGTGTGCTTCCTCTTTAGATACAAAAACGTATCAGACAATGATAGGTTCTCACGGTGTTATTAACTACTGGCTGCTTGCAGTGAACTTCCGAAGTGCTGCAGACACTGAGAACCAGATGTGCCGGGGGCCTCTAGATTATGCTTTCAGCAACCACTGCAGCCTCTGGGAGACATCTGTATCAACACACTCCTGCAGAAACACAAACACCTTGGGCCAGTCACTCTCTCTTGACCTAACCTACCTTACAGGGTGATGGTTGTGAGGGTAAAATGGAGGAGAGAACCATGTACACCCACCCCTGAGCTCTCTGGACTAAGTGACGGGATAAAAATGAATTAACTAAACTCATGGACCTCAACTAAAATGGAGAGAAATGTAGCCGTTTCAGAGTCATTAGAAAGTGTTTCCAGACCATGATATTCCAATACCTCAACTGATTTATCTGCAGTTTCATTAATTAAAAGGAGATTTCTTTCTGTAATATGAACTTCTAATGATAAAAGATTCAAATTATCAGCATCTGGTCACCAATGTTATTTATACTTTAGCTTTAGAGCAAACAATAGAGTTGCAAGTACATATATCGACCTTTTCTCCCCAGTGGGACCCAAGGTAGCTTACAATATCTTTGTTCTCTCCTCCATTTTACCCTCACAACCATCACCCTGTGAGGTAGGTTAGGTTCAAAGAAACTGACTAGTTCAAGGTCACCTGGTGAGCTTCCATGGCAGAGTAGAGATTTGAATCTGGGTCTCCCAGACAATGCTCCCTCTAGTTGTGGAGTCTTGTGAGCAAAAATTCTACTTGGTGAGCTACTGGCATTAAAGTTGTGAGCAAGCGATTTGGCTACTGCATAAATTAGCTTGCTCTGGAGCCATCCTTCCTGAGCTAAGACAGAAATGTGTGAGTTGGAAGCTAAAAAACTGTGAGCTAGCTCACACTAAACTCAGCTTAGAGGGAACACTGGTCCCAGATGATAGTCTATTGACTTCACCACTCTGGCTGTCTTAATCCATGGGCGCACTGGCTTCTTGGAAACGTGTGCATGTTTAGCCTTCTTCTAAATAACACATATGATATCCTGTCTTACAAGATTTTCTTTGTTCAGAGGCCCCACATGCTTTACTTTCTCTAACCCTTCTCTCTTCTAGCCATTCTCAAATGTAACGGTGGAAAAGTCAGTTTTCTTGACCCACACAAGTCAGTTACCCATTCTAGTTCTTGCCATTCAAATACTAACCATCAAGGCAGGGACATTCTGCTACACTTGTTACATCTGGGAGACATGCATAGCATGGCTTCCATATGCTTCTTCTTAAATATCTTGAGAGCTATGAACATTTTTAAAAATAAATGTGTCCAAATGCAAAAAAAAAAATCAATCTGGGCAAAAATAGCAATTGTCTTCCATTCTTATTCTTCTGTTAAGTTGATCACAATGTGGTGGTCTATGAGTTCCTTCAAAAGTCTTTGTTCAGCAGCAATGTCATGGTACCCATTCTGTGTGAAATAAAAATCATACAGACTTTAGTGATAAAGGAAAACAGCACATGGGAGGATCCCTGTTGTTGGGAAATCCAGAGAAAATCAGGTGCCCTCAATCCCACTGTAAACTCTCAAAAGCATCCATTTATATCTCTTAGGCTACTTCACAGCATTTTATGGATGCATTTGCCACAGAATTGCCTGCCACTGTGTTTCTGAGACTGACAGAAGGCAACTGAGGACAGTCCATTCAATTAATGGCATATCTGCAACCAGTGCTGCAGAAGCAGTACCAGAGAGGGGTAAGCTGTCATAATGATCTGTGCAGAGGTTTCTGTCACTGGAAGTACATGCAAATATGCAACATGGCCATGTACGCAATTTGTTTCTCCGTTAACCTTTCAGTTGCAAACTATATTTTGTGTTCTGACAGGATACAAGAGCAACTAAGCCCATTATGTGGGGAATGATTCAGTAAGTTTGCAAGGTAGGCTTGTTTGTATGTAGCAGGAGTGTGTGTCTTCTTGAAGATCAAGGTCAATACAGTATCATAAGAACACATGTGCCAACAAGGGTTACGAAAATGAGCAATGAATCAAGAAACCCCAGTGTAAATTCTGTTTCTGCCATGAGCTCAGTCTCTGAGCCTCATATTAGAGAAAGTTCCCAATTGAGATCAGGGCCCTGCGGGACTTGTTACAACTTCACAGGGCCTGTAAAACAGAGCTGTTCCGACAGCATTTGGTTGAGGTGGCAGATGCTTCACTACATCTGGCCTCCCCTGCTCTACCCAGACCCCCTCTCAACCAGCCTAAGCTGTCAGTTATATCAACGTATCACAGATTGGGGGGGGGGGACTATTATTTGATTGGCCTCTCTTGAGTCATACACAGTATATCCCTGAGGTTTAGGTATTACCATCTCGCTGTCATGTAGTTTAGTTGGTTTTTAGGTTTTTAACTAAATTTATGTGGATTGGTTAGTGGCAAATGGAAACTGGGCCACCAAAGAACATGGTGGCTAGACACCATAAACAACGACACCAGCCTGAGCATGGAACAACTCAAAGAAACAGTACAAGATCAGAAAACGTGGAGAGAGCTGGCCCATAGAATTGCCAAGAGTCAAACACGACTGAATGGCTAACAACAACATATGGAATTATTTTGTATGTTTTATTGGTACCTTGTAACCCACCCTGAGCCCACTTTTGGGGGAGGGCGGGATAAAAATCCCATAAATAAATAAAATAAAATGGGTCTCAGTCCCTGAACTGGCAATGGAAGCAGAGGGATACTGAGCTACCTTACAGGGTTATTGTAAAGATTACACTATGACAATGAATGCAAAATGCTTTGAATACTCCAATATATTTTATAAATGCTGTTATGAAATTTTCTGAAATGACAAAAACGGGGAGCCCAGCTGCACAGGGTCACCCTTCATATTTTTCTCAAATTGTGCAAGTGATGTCAGGTTGGCAGCTGTGATGAAATGGACGTTTTAGAATACTGAACATTAGAATACTGGAGCATTAGAATACTGGGGCATTTAGAATACTGCAAAAACTCTGTTTGAGATATTGTGTGTTGAAAGCTATTTCACACTGGGCAATATGTGTTACATACACATTCTATAGTTCTAGGTGTACAATTAAAATATTTCTTAGTCATACTGTAATGAATAAAGAGGCCTGAACTGTATTTTGTCAAAAGTCAAAATAATGCAGCTGAAGTGAGAAGTGATGCAAGATTCCCAGATCAGGAACATACCATCCACTTATCTCAATGCCTCCCTCTTCTCACTAGTTTTCTAGAAAAAAGACATTTTGACCTAGCCTAACCCTAACCAATGCTCCCTCTAAGCTGTGGAGTCTTGTGAGCAAAAATTCTACTGTGTGAGCTACTGGCATTAAAGTTGTGAGCAAGTGATTTGTGTACTGCATAAAGTAGTTTGCTCTGGAGCCAGCCTTCCTGAGCGAAGACAAAAATGTGTGAGCCGGAGGCTAAAAAACTGTGAGCTAGCTCACACTAACCCAGTTTAGAGGGAACACTGACCCTAACCCTAATTTCCACTAATGAAATGTTTGCTGATTATTCCTTCTGGCTGCAGACCTCCAGCTTCTCCATGCTGTCCCATGTCCCTCAGGAGTGGTATTTTGGGGGACGTTTAAAACTGCAATGGGAGGTGGGAGGGGAGAAGTCCTGCTCCACTGCTGGAAATACTTTTCATCAGTGGAGATTTTCTACATGACCCAAACCATTACCCAGAAAAGAGAGTAGCATACTACCTGAATCATCAGAGACATGGTGTCATTGCCGTAATAGTGTAAGACGCTGTTTCTGTCACTGAAGTTGTACTTGAAGCCTGCCAGATGGACATCACTGCATATATGTAATGCAAAAGTAATGGCGATCAACCCTGTTGTGGGATGCTTTGGCTTCTAAAAACAAACACAAAAGTACAAACCTTGTAAAGAAAGCATTTGATTTGCAAATACTCCCAAACAAGCAAAATTATTTCTCTTATGAAAAGTGTGTCAAGCTGCATTTCTTATATCAAACTGTGTATCTTTTTTTTAAAAACAGTTTTAATGTGCTTGAAACGCCAATTAAACTACCACTGGGGAAAGAAAGGACCACACAGTCACTCTGTCACCAGTTTTACATTTAACAGGACATTCTACACACAGACAACTACATTCATCACTAGCATAATTCTCACTGGGTGGGTTGGGAACCTCATTGGAAGAAAACTCATTGGTAGAAAACAGATTTGTTCCCAACAGGTCCTGCCAGACCAACCTCATTTCCTTCTTTGATCGAGTGACAAGCTGACTGGATCGAGGGAATGCTGTTGATGTTGTTTACCTGGATTTCAGTAAAGCTTTTGACAGGGTTCCCCATGATGTTCTGATGGGTAAGCTAGAGGACTGTGGACTGGACTCTAGGAGCAAGCATGGACGGCTTCAAAAGGGAATTAGATAGGCATATGGAGCAGAGGTCCATCAGTGGCTATTAGCCACAAGGTATAGATAGGGGTGCTCAAGATCCTACAAGCTAGGCTTCAACAGTACGTGGATAGAGAACTGCCAGAAGTACAAGCTGGGTTTCGAAGAGGTAGAGGAACTAGAGATCAAATTGCCAACATTCGCTGGATTATGGAGAAAGCAAGAGAGTACCAGAAAAACATCTACTTCTGCTTCATTGACTATGCTAAAGCCTTTGACTGTGTGGATCACAACAAACTATGGCAGGTCCTTAAAGAGATGGGAGTACCAGACCACCTCACATGTCTCTTGAGAAAACTGTATAAGGGTCAAGATGCAACAGTTAGAACCGGATCTGGAACAACTGATTGGTTTAGCATAGGAAAAGGAGTACGACAAGGATGTATATTGTCACCTAAAATCATTGGTCTTAAAGGTGCCACTGGACTCAAACTCTGGTCTGTTGCTTTAGACCAACACGGCTACCCATCTGAATCTGTCTCCAGTGAGTGAGGTCAGAGTGAACTCAGGCCAACTGGAATGTGGCTCACAGCTTGTCTCTTGGAGGTGAAGAGAGCTGTTGGGGCATGTGTTGGTCCTAACTACTCTGTGGGGAAAAAATTAAGTTACACTTAGCTGCATTAAGGCCGAGTGCTGAAGAATAGATTCTTTTGAACTATGGTGCTGGAGGAGACTCTTGAGAGTCCCTTGGACTGCAAGAAGATCAAATCAGTCAATCCTAAAAGAAATCAACCCTGACTGTTCCCTGGAAGGCCAGATAATGAAACTGAAGCTCAAATACTTTGGCCACCAAATGAGAAGGGAGCACTCACTGGAGAAGACCCTGATGCTGGGAAAGATTGAAGGTCAAAGAAGATGGGGACGGCAAAGGATGAGATGGTTAGACAGTGTCATAGATGCAATGAACTTGAAATTGAGCCAACTTCAGAGGACGGCGGAAGACAGGAGGGCCTGGCGGGAGCTGGTCCATGGGGTCGCGAAGAGTCGGACTCGACTGTGCGACTGAACAACAACAACAAATAGATAGGGGCTCTGGGGCAAGTGATGCTCTGTCTTCTTCGTGCTTGGAGGGGCCAACAGTGGGAGGGCTTCTAATGTCCTGGCCCCACTGGTGGACCTCCTGATGGCACCTGGTATTTTTGGCCACTGTGCGACAGAGTGTTGGACTAGATGGGCCTTTGGCCTGATCCAACATTGGCGTCTCTTATGTTCTTATGTTCTTATGAGGCTGGAGAACTGCACTCAAAGAGTAGTTGTCAATGGCATTTCATCTGAATGGAGGGAGGTGTCCAGAGGGTTGCCTCAGGGTTCGGTTCTGGGCCCAGTACTTTTCAATATTTTCATAAATGATCTGGATGAGAGTGTGGAGGGGCTATTCATTAAATTTGCAGATGACACCAAATTGAGAGGAGCAGCAAACACACCAGAAGAAAGAGATAGAATTCAATGAGATCTGAACACACTGGAAAAGTGGGTGGATGTGAATAAGATGCAATTTAACATAACAAAGATAAGTACTGAGTTCTACATCTGGGTAACAAAAATGAGGAACACACATACTGGATGAGGGATACACCTCTGAGTAGCAGTGTGTGTGAACAAGATCTTGGGGTACGTGTGGACCATAAGTTAAATATGAGCAGCCAATGTGATGCAGTGACAAAAAAGGCTAATGCAATCTTCGGGTGAATCAACAGAGGCATAACATCCAAATTGCAAGATGTGATAGTCCCGCACCTGGAGTACTGCATGCAGTTCTGGAGGCCTCACTTCAAAAAGGATGAGGACAGAATGGAGCGTGATGAGGAGGGCAATGAGGATGATCAAGGGCCTGGAGACCAAGCCCTATGAGGAAAGGCTGAGGGACCTGGAAATGTTCAGTCTCAAGAAGAGGAGGATGAGGGGGGTCGTGATTGTTTTATTTAAGTATTTGAAGGGCTGTCACTTAGGGGTGGGCAGGGAGCTGTTCCTGTTGGCAGCAGAGGATAGGACTCACAATAATGGGTTTAAATTAAGGGTGGGAAGGTACTGGCTGGATATTAGGAAAAACTCTTTTACAGTAAGATTTGTGCAACAGTGGAAACAGCTACCTAGGGAGGTGGTGAGCTCCCCCTCACTGGCAATCTTTAAGCAGCAGCTGGACATACACTTGTCAGGGCTGCTCTAGGCTGATTGTGCATTGATCAGGGGGTTGAACTAGATGGCCTGTATGGTCTCTTCCAACTCTGTGATTCTATGAAAACTGAATTGTTGGTTTGGGGAAATAATTATTCCAAAGAGATGTAGAAAAAGATAGAAAGGTACCTTCCAAATAAAATGTGCAAGGCAGAGATGGGCCAAACACTGAGAATGTTCCAGCTGTGCCCCATAAGAGCACCTAGAAAGCTCTCCTATACTGCTTCCCATATATCTCCCATTGTTGGTGGAAGATGCCATCAAGTTGCAGTTTCACAGGCTTACTGCCAGAGAATGTCCTCATTTACTTGGCAACTTCCTGTTGATGCTGGTATAGGATGGTCTCAGGCAACTCTGCAGTCTTCCCTCAGCGCTACAAAGTGCTCCAAGTCTTCCCTGGGAAGAGAGGCTCGTTTGCAAGCATTTCTCCAGAGGCACTCCCAGCTTGCCTGGGTGGAGGGGGGGGGCAAGTCGTCAGGCTTCCCAGTCAAGCCCTTCCCCTTCTGAGTGAGGAGCCAAGAAGGGTTAACCCCTTCTGCGCCCTTCAGCTGACAACTACCCATGCAGGAGAGGCTGGCCCCACTCTGTCCACGCTTCACATTCCAACAGAGCTCTGGCATTTGGATTTTGGGCAAATAAAGCGTCACCCCACTTTGTTTGCCGTGGGGTCCAGCTAGTCCTTGACAGCAGCAGAGCAAAGCTGAAGGGAGAAAGGTAGCGGCCCTAGTGGGTTGGGGGGTCTACCTGCTTTTAAAGGCCTCTTGAAGAGAAAATGATGCTTGGTCCTTTTTCAGCATTGCCAACTGACCACAGGGTGGGGGGGCACCCTCATCTGCTGATGGCCTGCCTGCCTGCAACACCAGCCCTCTTCTCCGAATAGGACTGGTGCATTGGGGTGGGTGGTGGCGGGGACCCAGATCATGCCTGCCACTTTCCTGCCCCTGCTTGGGCTTCACCTTACCTGGCAGCTTCTCAGGGAGGGGAGAACCAGTCTGCTGCCGCCCCCACCCCCCTCGTGCGAGCACCCGGCAGGAAGAGACTCGGTCCGGAAGGCTGCAATGGGTGCCTTTCATTTAAGAATGTTGCTGTATTTGGAGGGATTCTGAATCTTTCAGCGGAAAGGAAAGTTTTTTAGTTCTAATGCTCCCTAAGGTTTTCAAGGCAAGAGACACAGAGATGGTTTGCCATTGCCTGCCTCTGCATACAAACCCTGGCTTTCCTTGGTGGTCTCCCATCCAAATACTAACCAGGCACAGCCCTGCTAAACTCCTGAGATCTGAGGAGATCAGGCTAGATGGGGTTTAAAAATCTGAAAATTCCGACAGCTGTGATTTGCTCTCGCGAGATCAGGGCCTTCCCTTTCATTCCCCCCACCCTTTCTGCTGGCTGCCGGTGAGTAATGGAGTGGGCGGGGAGTGGAGGAGGAGGATGAGGTTATTGTGCAGAGAGATACTGACCAACTAAGCGTGGCAGCCTGAGCAGGCCCGGTCCAGAGAGCCTATCAGGCGAAGGGCGCATGTTCATTTCCTTTCTTAGCCACTGCAGGGAACAAAAGGAGAGGGAGATGCCCCTGCTTTGAGCGAGGGCACGGTGGAGGCGGTGACACCTGCCTCAGCAGACGGTTCCCCTTAGAACGAGTGGGCCCTTTGTTTGTGTCTAGAATGGCTACTTATGATTATGTGGAAATAAACCCTTTGCTTCTCTTTCTCCTGCCCTGTTTCACCAGCACAAGAAGCATGTGACAGTCCTTAGCAAACAGTTAAAACCTTGACGAAGCAGCCTTTGGGGGGGATCCACGTGACTAACGTGTGCCGAGTTTTAGATCTTGGCTTTGTAGTTTGAACAAAAGTATACTTGCTCAATTGCAAGTAAGTTCCAGATTGCTCAAGGTGTCTTACTTCCAAGTGAGCGTACAGTTGTATTGTTAAATAACAATCTTAAGCATACCAATAAATATTGAAATCGCTTGGGCTTGGCTAGAGCTTTTGAAGCAGGGAAAGCCATGTGCTTTTGTCCAGTTGAAGGGCCCTTAAAGAATATCATGGCCTGTTGTGGCTCTTGACAGCCTGGGGTTTGTTTCTGCTAGCGAACATAGGATTACTGGCGTGGTCCTTGCATGCAGGAGAGTGATGTGGTAGAAAGGACCCCCCATCACCTCACATTGCAGGTGTGATGCTATGCTGTGTACATTTTAAAAGCTCTCTTTGAATGTAGTTCAAACTTGACTTAAAAACCCTGCTTGGGGAAGGAAAAAAATCCTTGGAGGAGCACATGTGAGTTGACTTTCCAGTGTAGACTGTTCAGATGCTTTAATTAGTGCAGAATTCAGTGGCCTACCTTTTAACTTGTGTTGACTGCTTAATGTATTTATGTGATACTCTCATGATGTGATACCATCACATTCTGCTTACAGATTGCCATTTTAATCAGTATGTTAGGGATTCTTTAGGGGGTGCTTCAGAAGTGGTCATGGGAGCTAGGGCTGTAAATTCAAAACTTTAAACAAGGTTCTATATTGAATTTGCAGCTATTAAGAGTAAGGGAATTGGTATTTCTATATACTATAGCAGAAAGAGGAATGGGTGTAAATAATACTGCGTGAAAGCAGGAAATTGAATAGACTACTTTAAATAGGACAGGCAGTTCAGTGGAAGCTCAATGCTTCCTTTCCATTACTTACATGCTGCTAGTCTTGCTAGTGGGCAAAAGTCCACTTTTGTGCATGGAAATGCCACCAGGCCCCATCAGTGATACCTTCAAAATAATATGGCTGATCAAAGCTACTTATTGTAGCTTTGAATTGTAGAGAAGTAAGTTAGTAACATTGAGATTACATAAACCTGTTTTTGGATAGCCTGTTACAGAGATAGTGGGTAAGATACAGGGCCTTGAGTCAGAACTCGCTCAGGGAAGAAATCAATAGTGTTACACTGTTTGCTTTTAAAAATTCATTTGTTAGAAGTTGAGTTGCAGATTGCTTCCAATTCTTATTGCCTTTGCAATGTTTAACACCTGTATTTGTGGCAATGTGTTTCATAGTGCTTCAGGAAACTGTTCCCAAACTGTGAATTGGACTGATTGTAGTAATTCCATCTCTGTGAGTGCCCTTGTCAGCCATATTCTTCACAGGATTGTCTTATTTCTTCAGCTGTTTTCTGGATGCCATACATTTTCATATAAATGTGACTTTTCAATTGCACAATGTTCTTCAGATTGTTCAGAGAGCACTATGCTGTGGGCTGGCCCTTTGGCTTTACCTTTCTCCTTTCATTACCACTGCTATTATATCTAGCTTCTAAATTCAGTTCTAAAAATTACTGTTATTAAGATGATTTTTTCATTACCTTTAATCCTATATTTGATTTATAGCACATTGGAAAAAATGTGCTTATAGTTTATCGCTGTGTTTAGCCTTACATGTCTTATTTTTAAAGCTCTATGTTAATCTCATAACTAGGAAGGAAGGTTTAGAGGGGATGAGTGGGGGAGCAGTGATGTTGTGTCTTGCCATTGACATGTAATGTAAAGCTTGAAACCTCAGCCGGATTGTAATCTGGAACACCACCATTGGCTGAAGCATGTATTGTAACCAATGAATTGTAAGAGTCTGTGCTGGAGGGAAGACTAATGATTGGTCGTTATCCATGTAATGTGATTGGATGTTAATTATGTGAGGGCGTGGCTACCCCAGCCCGGGAGAGTTTAAAAGGAGCTATGCTCCACTGTTGTTGTGTGTGTGGAGTAATCGTGTCGTCTGATGCGGTGTGATCTTTGGAAGTTCTCGTTCTCAATAAAGCTGATTCACTTGTTACTTACTTCGTTGTTGAGTTGCATACTTAACACGTGATTTGCATAGTAAGTGGACCTTGCTGGTTTGGTCCTTGGCAGTAGATAACAAAGACTCCCTTAACATTAGTTTTGAGGAACTGAGGACATAGAGACTATGGCTTAATCTGGTAGAGGCATATGCCAGTTGAGTATATTCTATGGAATCAGCCATCTCAGTGGGCTCAATGGACCTATTCATAGTCTGTTTTGTACCTAAGATATCAGACCCTACCATGCACCTGTGCATAAGGTGGGTATGTCTGGATGACCATATGGGGTGTGTGGCCTGATATGCTAATGAGTTTCTGCTGTTGGGTGTGGCCTACTATGCTAATGAGTTCCTGC